ATATTTTTTTTTTAATTTCCCTAGAATCATAATAATAATAATATTCTTTAGATATAAATTTCAAATTTTCTGTGGAATTGTTTAAAATTTATAAGTATAAACTAGTAATAAAGGGATTACTTGTTTCATTTAGTTAAAATTGACGTTTACACTTTTTATTTTACCATTTTCTATATATGTCTTTTAGTCCCATATCATATGAATGTCTGAATATGTCAAAAAAATAGCATGTCATTTTTTTACAAGTTAGTAATCTTGTTTCACAAATTAACATGCATTGATAGAATCAACTTTGGTGGTTTATACAAACTAAAATAAGTTCTAGTCATTTACTTGTGGTAAGTATAAGTTTTTATGATTGTTCTTTAATATTATTAATAATATCTTAAGTAATTCTTGGACTATTGTGGCAGAAAGTGTGTTTTTTCTTTGAGAATACAAGGATTATGTAATAATTCTCTTGTTAAATATTGTGATATGTGATTAAATGTAGGATATTTCAATGTGAAAGGTAAGTGACTATTTTTTTGTTTACATTTTTGCTTAATCTATTCATTAAGAATAATAATATTCATTAAAATATCATTACAAATAACAAATAATGTGTCACACAAATAATGAGTTGGGCAGGAGCTAGGCCTATACTTAAAATACTATACTTTTCTAGGCCTGTATATATATATAACTTTTATATTTAATATATAAATTATAATAAAAATGAGGTTAATAATAATTCAATTTAACCCACTACCCAAGTCAATACCCTTCAATAAAAGCATCAAAACAAGTTAAAAAATATATTTATGTTGTTTAGATAGGTATCTGTGTTATTAAATTATTTGTTTTTGTTTTTGAATGAGTTATTTTGGAGTAATAAGCTGGATTTCCATTGTAAATCAAGTTATTTACTTTTTTTTTTAATTATAAAAAATCGTTATCGATAATAGGTCATTTTGGGACACACGTGACAAAAATTTGGTAGGCTTTTTTAGACCATTGAATTTGAACTGGGTGCTAACCTCTTGAATTTTGTATATGTTGTAATTTATGCTATTATCTCCCGTCGTCTTTTTATTTAAGAAAGACACCCTTTCCAGAAAAAAAATATTATTTTCAAAGTTAACTCTTTCCATGCCAGGGGGTTTTCCACGTTCGTGCCAGACCAGTATTCGGCCAATGGAAATTTTTTAGGGTGCTCCTATCTATTAATTAATTTTGAATACATTTCTTTTAGCAAGATAGCTGTATTTCATATCAAATTAAAGGAAATTAGACAGAGAATAATAATATGTAAAATATAAAACAGTATAACAACAATAAGTTACATTTTTTAGGTAAAATTGTGAGATCAAATTTTTTATATTTTTAAAATTGCACACAAAATCTGAACTTATCAGACTACCATATGGTCTGTGTTGCTGATATCCTATTCTGCTTCAATCCCCAAAAAGTATATCCATTTTTGATCATAATGCATTTTACATTTTGAAAATATTCCATTTTGTTACGGAGTTATACCCATTTTTGTAACGTTAGGAGTATTCTTATCTGAATCCTCACTGTTGCCATAGTAACAAAGTGGTTTTGAAAAAAATTCATAACTTTTGAACTACTTGAGCTAGAAAGTTGATCTGGGTGTTTTTTTTAATCCATTCTCTAGGCTCTATCTATTCCTGGTATTTTTATATTTTAAAAAATGTTTTGAAATTTTTATGAAATTGCCGACAGTACCACGACCACTATTACTAGTATTACTATTACTATCAGTACTATCACCATTCTATTACTATTTCCATTTACCGACCCATCAGAATGCTGAAAATCATCATTGGAATCAGATTCAAATGATTCATGGTTATTGTCTGTTGTTTCAGCATCAATAATTAGCAATAAAAGTTCTTTTATTTGCAAAATTGACTACCTACGTGGTCTAGCAACAGCTGACATGCTTGGAGTGGGCGTAGCCATGGCTTTGTTTACAAAAGTTTCAACACAAATTGAACTATTATTAGAAAAAACACATGCAAACATGCCCTACTTCTCAAAAAAGGAAGTAGTAAGAGTTATCCTTCGTTTAAGAACAAAAAAAGTCGGATTAAGAGCCACAAGAAACGAAATAAACTACATAAATGATATCGACAGTATACTGTGGGTTGGCACGAACGCGACCAGTCAAATCGACAGTATACTGTGGATTGGCACGGAAAGAGTTAAGACCTCAAATATTTTTTAGAACAAAAGTGTCTAATCATAAAACAACATGTCTACTCAAAGTTGTGGGCGGAAATAGAATGTTCTTGATGGGCTATAATTAGCAAAAAAATCGTAAACAACGAGGGTCTCGGTAAATTAAAAAGTGGAGGTCACCATTTTGATAACGAAATCACGATACCCGCTTTTCGGCAATTCCCGGATCTCATCGAAGTGGCTACACTAAGGCTAAGGGCACTAAGGCTAAGGCTAAGTTACGGCGCTAAGTCCGCTAAGGCAAGACTAAAAAGTCTAAAAGGCAATGAAATTTAAGCACTATTAATTATTTCTAGTGATATAAAATTAAAACTTTCTCTTCACCTGATGGAACTAAAGGCCTAAAATAGCATCTTTTTGTTCATGTACAATATCCTTTTAACAAAATTGAACAAGATAATAAAAAAAAGGTAGCCTCCAGTTCATGAGTCTTTTGTCATTTACGACGCCATTGTGGGGGGAAAAAAAACAAGGAGAACTCTTCTGTCTTCAAAGATACGTTATAAAAGTTGCCCAATTGGATATATTTAGATTTAAATATTTTTTTTTTATATTTTATAGATCTATCTACTTTGATATTTATTTATTTATTTAGGCATTTTTATATAGCGCTTACCTTAAAGCTCTAAGCGCTTTACAATTATTAAAAACATGTAAACTAAGGAAAATAAAAATGAGACACTAGGATAGTAACTACTATACTATAGAAACAATTAAAATGGTTATAAAACGAGGACACTTTGGCACGTTTTGGTCTATACTAGCCCACTGGGTCCATGCACAGCAATGTAAGGGTTGTACTCGCAAGGGACCTCAATATCAGGGGGTGCATTCGCCCAGGGCGCTGCTTTTCCTTTACACGGTTGTGCATCCATTTCGGACAGATCGCGGCTCGAATTTTGTGGGTGGGGGCATGGGCGCCCGAAGAAAAATTTCTAGAGGGAGGGGGGGTGGGGCAAAAAATCGATTTACTTTCCAGGGGGGGGGGCAAAAAAATTTTAGTAATGTTTTAATATAGTTTTAATTTACTGTAGCGTATTTTGTATGGTGAACGAACGTACAGGACATCAGCTTAGTTACTTTCTCTTTATTTTCTCTTTATTTTAATAAATTTTTTGTAGCCCCTACCTGCGGGCGCCCATGGGTAGGGGTTATGTGGGAAATATTTGTTAAAACTTTAAATAAAATTGTCAATGTCCTGTCTTAAAATTTGTGACAGTTTCGATTTCTTTCTCAATAAATAGCTGGTGATTTACTAAGACTAGTAGGGGAAAAGCAGGAAAGTAATGAAATATATGTCAGTAGCGAAATAAACACCATTGCAAACAGATGAATAATAGAGCAATTTGGTTCCATCCAGATACATAAAATCACTAACACTGCCTCTCATTTTACTCACCACAAACCAGAGTCAACTTAGGTGGCATCTAAATAATTAAGTGCCGTCTATCAAACTAGAGCTGACCAACCATGGGCGCCCGCAGGAAAGTTTGTCGAGAAAAAGTCAATCCACTTGCATAGGAAGGGGGCTGTGGAGTATCTAAATCATCTAAATCATCTTCATTACTAGATTATTTTTTTTTAAATGATCTACGAAAATGGCTTAAACCAGAAAAGAAAATAGGAAAGAAAAAAATCTACCCGTCCTAAAAGAAATTAACATGGCCAAAAAAAAAAAGAAAAAGAATAAAACTATGAATCTATGAAATAAAGAAATAAAAAGGAGAAAAAACAATTTTAAAAAATAATTATCATACTATTATTGTTATCACACCCGGCTCCGAAGCCATTTAATCTGTACGGAGCAACTCCGGGTGCGAATAGTCATTTGCGATTAAAGATACCTGGGTACTTATAGATGCAGCCAAAAGTAAAATGTAGACTATTTATATATTTATTTATGTTATAATTCTTTTCTTTTTTTTTTGGGGGGGGGGGAGTTTATAAAAATTTTTACATACAAAAGGGGGGGGGTCACTGAAAGT